ATGGCGCAAACAGCTAATGAAATTGATCGCTTTTCCGCACGGCACAGCGGCTGTCGTCAGGCTGTGGCAGTCATGCGCTTCCTGTCGCCCACGTAGAACACAGTGCTTTGACCCACGGAATCTCAAGCAGCATGAAGCTTGAAACCGAAGCAACCAGCCGCGGGTCGCCGCCGGTTGTAGCCCACGCAGGACCCGGCCTTCATTTCCGCCGTGAAACAGTCGCTCAAGGTCATCAGTCATTGCGTGTCCGCTACCTCCACCTCGGGAGACCTCTTTCATGATGACCTTCCGACGATTATTTTTTTTTTTTTTCTCGAAGCCGTCGAACGTTATAATTAGTGACACTGAGGCGCTATGCTGAAATCAAAGTATAGTTCGTCTTCTATCTGGTTTTGCGCCCGCGATATTAAACGAAAAAGGATGGTAGGGAAAGGCAACCCCTTTCAATATCAGATAAAATACAAGTTTTAAAAGTTGTTCGGGAGAGCGGCAATAAAAAGTAGATAATGCTAAAGAACTGGGAAAATGATGGTGTAAAAATATTGAGTTTATTCTGCTCATAATAATTATTATCAGTTATGCGGTTTTCTCACTTTTCTCATTTTTCCCCCTTCGCCCCCCTGAAAACGTGAAGTTTTACTATAATTGGATTGTAGAATACACTATAGATCAGTTTTGAATATTTTATTCATAATCTAAAAGTCAATCAATAGATTATTGATAAAAAATATTTTCATTTATTGTACCAATTTATAGAAGATAACTTCTTTAATTTATATTTTTTATTTAATTTGTAAATAGGGTAATGTTTTAGTGTAAGACATAGCATAACACTGCCTCAAACACCCTCTCCCCTCTTCAGCAAGACGTAATTTATGGACTACACCAAAATATTTTTATATAAAATAAATTTTATTTTAAGACCAACTTTCTCAGACATGCTCTTTCAAAATTAAGGATTTGTAAATGCAATCAAGGCATATTTAGTGTTTTTTCAATTTATCATTGGATCAGTTCAACAAGGCATTATTTAACTATAGAGAGAGAGCATAATGAAGTCAGAACATTATAGAAATCAAAATTCAGATCAGACTATTTAACACTATCAGATCACAATGCAGTTCTGTACAATTGACATTGATAGGAAATAAGGTTTTGTTGAAATTAAAAATGTAAGCATTGAAAGATCAGTAAACAATACAATTAATTATGAATCACTAGGTCCTCATATGCAAAAACCTGTGGGACTGTTTCCTTGCTGTCCCTGGCCATTAAAATCTAGTCCCTGGCCATATTATTAGACGCACCCTAAATTTTCAATAAAATTCACGTTTTTGTGACGAAAAAT